AACAACTGAGGACAGTTTTGACGACTGCTGGAGCAACGACATCGGGCAGAGAGAGAGAGCTTTCGGCCATGAGGTGAATCGAGCCATGAAAGTGAGGAGACAATAACAACCAGAATGTTATTACCAACATTAGGTAATAACGTTCTGCCTATATCATGCGCCGCTGTGTGGCTCCTCATTGGACTCGAGAGAGAGAGAGAGAGAGCCCGTAAGGCACAACGAGACAAGTGAGTTCCTTAAAAAATGATCGTTGAGAGCCCCTCTACCATAGGAACAACCATTGGAGAGAGGCAGGAAGCTTACGATGTCCAGGCGGACGTGACTTAATCGTGCGTATACCCAACAGGACCAGGGGAAGTGCTCCGTCCATTTATCCGGATCGTCTGCGGCGCGTAGGCGGGCTGCTCGGTGATGGGCTGTAGTGCAGATGCAAGTAGCTTAGAAAGGAGAGAGGAGACTGGAAGAGGTTAGATTCAAATTGGACACCGCGGTCAGTTTATATAGAGGAGGGTGCGCCACAGATGGCAATCCAACTAATGAGGAAAGCTTTGACGACTGTTGGATTAGCAATTTCAGACAGGGAGGATAGCTTCAGGCCACCGGGTGAATCGATCCACACAAGTGAGGGTATGGGAACAACCATTGTACAGAGACGGGGGCCTACGATGTCCAAGTGGACATGACTGAACCATGCATCCGGAGTGGGGAAGGTGCCGATAGGAGCTTTGATGTGCAGTTGGACCTTAATCCACTGACAGCCGAAACACGCCCGTGTCCACGCATTCAGATCCTTGTACACTCCTGACCAGACGAAGCCGTCGGAAACCAGATTTTCGGTAGCTCGACTCCCAGAGTGCGATAGGTTGTGCAGGGAGACGAAGACATCAGCGGAGTGACAGCGGTACAAAGGGGCGATGGGAGGCGGTGGAGACGTCGCATAGAATGGTGCCGTCGTCAGTAGTCAGTGGCAGGTCCTGGAGCTGGAGTCCGGACTTGGCCTCATCACAGGGAGAACCAACACGGTGTTGTTCGGCAGCCATCTCAGCGGGTTCGATCCCGGGAGAAAGTTGGAGATGCACGATAGAGGGCCTGGATAGCGCGTCTGCTACCTCGTTAAATGACCCGTCGAGGTGACTGTGGCAGTTCGCGTCTCATTGCCCTCCGCCTTTGTCACGCTGCCTTCCTGTCCACCTCACGCTCCTTGTTGATACGCTGCTGGGACGCGCGCGTGCTCCACGCCAATCAACGCTGCCCCCGTCTGATTGGCTGGCGGACGCGGAGACAATGGAGGGCGCATACACGCGCTGACAACACCTGGAAGGCGGACACAGACAAAAACTTGTTTGGAGAGCACGTTTGCGGCGACTGCCCACACAGCCTTGGTGTACATGCTTTCCAAGCAGTAAACGTTGTCTCACTCACTCCGTCTTCCCTGACTTTTGATTGGGAATCTTTATCTTGTCAACCTACATAACCTCCGACAATTGGTGACTCCTTACGAACAACAATCTTCGTTCTTCCTAATCTACGACAAAGTCAGGTTTTGATCATGGACAACTTTCCACTGGAAGTGCAGCATATTTTGGCACCCGCGTTCGGCATTCTTTCGGCCACACAACTTACTCAGATGGCTGATCGGCTTATGGAGATGCACGGTTTTTCCAAGCCATCCAATGCAGCACTCTCAACTCCCTCATCTCCTCCTGCGTCTCCCATTTCGCAGTTGGAGATCGAGCTCAGCAAGCTGGCCAATGATATAGCTTCACTCCAGAGGCAGGCAGTTTCTCCCTCATCTCGGAGTCAACCGAAGCCGTCCACCCCGAAACTCCAGTCTTCACATTTAACCCGTCCAAACGCAGCTGCCATCTGCTGGTACCACACCACTTTTGGTGTTAAAGCCCGTTGCTGCATCTCTCCTTGCTCCTTCACCTCCAAGCAGAGCAAACGGGTAAAACCGGTCAACCCGAAAATCAGTGCTACCAATCTTCCCGACAGCACTAACCCTGGTCACACATTTTACGTCCGCGACACCAGGAGTGGCAGACGTTTCTTGGTTGACACTGGTGCCCAGCTAAGTGTCATTCCACCAACACCAACTGATCGTCGGTGTCCCAATCCCGGTCTTTTCCTACAGGCTGTCAGCACATCGCTGATTACCACCTTTGGCACTTGCTCCCTCTCTCTGGACATCGGTCTCCGGCGTCTCTTCCCTTGGGTCTTCGTCGTTGCTGACATCCCCGGTGCAATTCTCGGTGCAGATTTCCTCGCCGCTTTCGATCTTCTGGTCGACTGCCGTCAGTCACGTCTACACGACAAGACCACCAACCTCACTATCCGGAGTATCTCTTCATCCGACACCTCCCGTCATCTTGCCGTCTTGGACCCTGAACCCGAGAATCCATTTCGGCAACTCCTCGCCAAATACCCCGGACTAACTCGTGCCAACTTCAACGTTTCTATTCCACCACATGACGTTGTTCACCATATTCGGACCACCGGCCCTCCCGTGTTTTCTCGCCCCCGCCGTCTCGCGCCTACACGTCTTGCTGCCGCCAAGGCCGAAATCGAGCACATGCTTCAAATGGGCATCATCCGTCAGTCGGAAAGCCTATGGGCCTCACCCTTCCACATGGTTCCAAGGGCCGTCAGTGGTGACTGGCGTCCCTGTGGTGATTACAGGCCCTGAACAACGTTACTGTCCCGGATCGCTACCCTGTCCCACATCTTCAGGATTTTTCCGGTGCCCTATTCGGCAAGTTTGTATTCTCGAAGATCGATCTGTTGGCGCTGTTGGCGCGGTTCTTCAACAAAGTCTGCCGGATTCTACCGTGCCTTTGGCTTTCTTCACCAGGAAACTATCCAAGGCCAAAACCCGCTATAGCACATTCGGACGTGAACTTCTCGCTGCTTATCTTGTCGTAAGACACTTCCGGCATTTACTTGAAGGTCGAGAGTTCACAATTTTCACAGATCATAAGCCGCTCACCTTTGCTATGCATTCCCACACTGACAAACTAAACCCCTGAGAAATCCGCCAACTGGACTTCATCTCACAGTTTACCTCAGACATCCGCCACATCGACGGGTCACGCAATGAGGTGGCTGACGCACTCTCCATGCCCTCCATTGCTCAACTTCAACTTTCACCCGCGATTGACCTCACTGAGATGGCCGCTGAACAACGCCGTGTGTGTTCAACCTGTGATGAGGATGTTTCCGGACTCCAACTTCAGGAACTACCACTGACAACTGGCAACAGCACCATCTTATGTGACGTATCCACCCCTTCCCATCGTCCATTTGTGCCACCATTCCTCCGCCGCAAAGTTTTCTCCTCCCTGCACAATCTCTCTCACCCTGGGAGTCAAGCAATCGACAAGCTGGTTTCCGACCGCTTCGTCTGGCCTGGTATGCACAAGGACCTCAAGGCATGGACACGGGCTTGTATCGCCTGTCAACGGAGTAAGATCCAGCGGCACAACAAGGCCCCCGTTGGCACATTCCCTGGCCCTGGTTCAAGATTCAGCCACGTTCATCTATACACTGTAGGCCCCCTGCCTCTGTCCAATGGTTGTTCCTATCTCCTCACCTGTGTGGATCGGTTCACTTGGTGGCCTGAAGCAATTCCCCTGCCTGACATTACTGCTCTAACGGTCGTCAAGGCTTTTCTCAGTCGTTGGTTTGCAATTTTTGGTGCACCCTCCACAATCACGACTGAACGTGGTGCCCAGTTTGGGTCTAAACTATTCCAGTCTTTACTCTCCTTTTTAGGCTGTACTCGCATCTGCACTACAGCCTATCATCCGGCAGCCAACGGGATGGTCGAGCGGTTTCACCGCCAGCTGAAGGCCTCCCTACGCGCAACGGCCGATCCGGAGAACTGGACGAACCACCTTCTCCTGGTCCTCTTGGGCATCCGCTGCGCTCTCAAGCCGGACATTGACTGTTCGCAGCTGAACTGGTGTTCAGCTCCACCGTCCGACTCCCCAGTGAGATGATCTCGCCAACCCCTCAAGGTGCAGTTGAGGATCCCACCAAGCTCCTACCTCGTCTACGGCCATTCATGCGGACACTTGCTCCGTTTCCTCCCAGGTACTCCGCCTCTCCGTCCTAGCTCGAGAAGGCCTTAACGACATGCTCTCACGTCTATCTCCGATGTGATCGAGTCTGCCGACCCCTGGAACCATCCTACGACGGCCCCTTCCGAGTTATCTCTCGAGGGACGAAGAACTTCCGCATCCAACGCGGAACTCGTGAGGAGGTCGTGAGCGTGGAACATCTCAAAGCTACCGTTCCGAACACTCCTCCGGATGAGCCCTGTGGTCCCCTACCCCCCAGCTCCGCCTCCCCGACCCTCTATCCCTCCGTCCCGTATACTTCCTCTGCCCTCATGCCCGCAACACCCAACTGCAACTACCCCTTCATCAAAAAACAACACTGCAACCGCACGCCATACTCACTCTACCCCTGTGCCCCTTGTATATATCACCCGTAGTGGACGCCACTTTCACTTTCCTGACCGTTTGGTTACTCATGTTTTTTAGACATCAGGAATTCCCTCGGCATCGCTACGCGCCGTCTTCGGTCTAGCGGGGGGCACTGTGGCAGTTCACGTCTCATTGCCCTCCGCCTTTGTCACGCTGCCTTCCTGTCCACCTCACGCTCCTTGTTGATACGCTGCTGGGACGCGCGCGTGCTCCACGCCAATCAACGCTGCCCCCGTCTGATTGGCTGGCGGACGCGGAGACAATGGAGGGCGCATACACGCGCTGACAACACCTGGAAGGCGGACACAGACAAAAACTTGTTTGGAGAGCACGTTTGCGGCGACTGCCCACACAGCCTTGGTGTACATGCTTTCCAAGCAGTAAACGTTGTCTCACTCACTCCGTCTTCCCTGACTTTTGATTGGGAATCTTTATCTTGTCGACCTACATAACCTCCGACATGGCGGGTGTCTGAGGTAAACTGCGAGATGTAGTCCAGTTAGCGGACTTCCCGGGGATTGAGCTTGTCAGAAGTGGACTTGGGAGCAAAGGAAAAGGTTTTGTGATCTCTGCCCTCAAGGAAGTGTCGGAAGTGTTTCACGGCGTGGAACACAGCAAGGAGCTCCTATCCAAATGCGCTATAGCGCATTTCCACAGGTGATAACATCCTGGGGAAGAAAGCTAAGGGTTGAGTGTGACTTGCAACGTGCTGTTGGAGAACCGCGCCGACTGCAACATTGGAGGCGTCTATCACGTGGGAGATGGTAGCATCGGGAGAAAAGTGCGTCAGGAGGGCGGCGTCGGCAACGGCGACCTTCGCCTTGTCAAAAGCAGCGAGAGCGTTTGCAGACAGCTCAAACGATCCTTTGGAACCCGAGAGGAGGCTCTTGAGCAGCAGAACGGTGTCGGCACAGTGCGGGAGGGACCGGCGGTAGAAATACACCATGTCCAGGAATCGCTGCTGCTGACGTTTGGAAGAGGGAGGTAGGAAATCACGTATAGCCGCAACCATCGATGGAAGAGGATGAATGCCGCTGGAGTCAACCAGATGTCCAAGAAATTCTACGGAGGACACATTGAAGACGCACTTGGGCGGGTGGATAACAACACCAAACTGTTGAAGACGGTCAAACACCGTTGTAAGATGCTCCACGTGTTTATCAAAGCAGTTGAAATCATGTTGTGACCCTAGCCGATACGATATTCTGGTCCCGTCCCAGGTATGAAGGGAGAAGATGGGCGCCAGCGGGGAAGAGTATTTATTATGTACAGAATAATGGGTAAAGTTGACAGCCGGACGAGGGTGCGTCTGGCACCACGAAAGCGGCGTCTGCCAGAGCGATGCCCCTGTGTGTCGCCGTAATCTTCTGCCGTGAAAGTGTCCAGACCGATTTTTAGCGTCACTAGTCTAGAATGTCCGCCTGTGTTACCAGTCAGCGAAGGGGCTGCGTTAATTGGCTCAAGTCCACTCGAGGGTAGTGACAAGCCTCGATGGTGAAGGCAAGTAGGCGTGTGTGGCGAAGCAGGATATCGCTGGTGTGTGCGTGCAGACACTAGCAAGAAGAGCGGCGTTGTCATGACTACCTGATGTAGCGCCACTACACGTTTTTCGGTGGTGGAGCTAGCCCATAGAATGTCGTCGGTATAGGCGTAGACGAATGGTACGCCGCGAAGCACTTTGTCTTCGAACCTCTGAAAAGTCTGGAAGGCGTTGCGGAGTCCAACCGGCATGCGCGGTAACTCAATGAAGCCAAGGGGGGGGGGAATGACGGTCGTCCTCGGAGCGTCCCCTGGGGCGATGAAAATTTCGTGGGAATCGCGGACCAGGTCAATCTTCAAGAACACCGATTTGATGAACGGAGCACTGGCAAAATCCTGAAAATCTGGGACAGAGCGGCGGTGTTCGGGACCCTATAAGCACCGCAGGCGGCACCGGTCACCAGTGGCGGCCTTCGGGACCAAGTGGAGGGGCACAACCCATGGACTTTCAGATTGACTGGTGATGCCCATGCCATCGAACTTGGCCTTGGCGGCAGACAGTCGTGCGGGTGCGAGACGGCGGGGCCGAGAAAACACGGGAGGACCAGTGGTTCGGATGTGGTGAAAAACGTCGTGTGGTGGAATAGAAGTGCTAAAGTTGCGACGAGTGAGGCCAGGGTATTTGGCGAGGGGTTTCCGAAATGGATTCTTGGGTTCGGGCCCCGGGACAGCGAGCTGACTTGAAGCATCAAAAGAAGAGATACCCCGTACAGTGAGGCTGGTGGTCATGTTGTGTGAACGGGACTGGCGTCAGTCGACCAGAAGATCGAAGGCGGTGGGAAAGTCTGCGCCGAAAATGTCACGGAGGTGTCGGCAGCGACGAAGACCCAGTGGAAAAGACGCCGGAAGTGGATGTCCAGAGAGAGGGAGCAGTGCCAAAAGTGGCGATTGGCTAGGTGTTAACGGTCTGAAGAAAAAAAGCTGGAATTGGTACATCAAGGATCAGCCGCTGTGGGCTGAATGACACTCGGCTGAGCACCAGTGTCAACCAAGAAACGCCTGCCACTCGGGGTGGCGCAGACATAAAATGTGCGACCAGGGTTAGAGCTGTCAGGAAGATTGGCTCCACTGACCTCCGGACTGACCCGTTTTACCCATCTGCTCTGCTTGGAGGTGAAGGAGTAGGGATAGGTACGGCGACGGACTTTGGCACCAAATGTGGTGTGGCGGCTATGTTTGAATGAGCTCGATGAGAAGCCTGGACATGCGGGGTGGACGGCTTCGGTTGGCTCTGAGATGAGGAGAAAACTGTCTGCTTCTGGAGAGAAGCTATATCATCGGCAAACTTCGTAAGCCGGATCTCCAACTGCGAAAGGAAAAAACGCAGGAGGAGTTGAGGGCGTTGAGAGTACTGAAAGTGACGGTTTGGAAAACCGTCAATCTCCATAAGCCGTTCGGCCCTTTGAGTAAGTTATGTAACCGAAAGAATGTTAAAAGTGGGTGTCAAAATATGCTGCACTTCCGATGGAAAACTGTCCATGATCAACGTCTGGCCTTATCTTAGATTAGGAAGACGGAAGGTTGCTGTTCGCGCGGAGTCACCAGTTGTCGAGATGGTACGAGGGACAAGACAGAGGTTCCCCAAATCAAAAGTCAGGGAAAACAGATCGGGTTGGACAACTTTTACTGCTGAGGAAGTGTGTACAAAGCAGTCACAGCGAGCGATCTCTCTAGGCAAGTTGTGTTGTCTGTGTCCGCCGTTGAGGTGCTTGGACCCCAGCGCATGTGTGCCTTTCGCTCTGCCCCAGTGCCGCCAGCCAATCAGAGAAGGGGCAGCGCTGTTTGGCGTCGAGCGCTCACGAGGCTAGTGACAAGCCTCGGGACATCAAAGCAACGACTCGAGAGGGAGTGTGGGGGGGGGGCAGGAGGGCAACGCGACAAAGCGATGGAGAGCCACGAAGTGCGGACTGCCACAGAACCACTCAGTCACAGTTTGGCAAATAACTTCAGCATGGCAGGTACTCTAATGCGGATCTTTACTCATGACATATATAGGTGTGAAATAATGTCAGCAGACATACCATTGAGGACGACGAACAGGACATTGACTACGACCGACCTTTTCCTGCGCAGCCTGCCCAGCAGAAATTGAGACATAGGGGAGGTCCAACTGAAGGACAGAGAGCTTATCTGTAGCGCCTTCTGGTTGTCAGCCAGTTGCTCCATGTCAGTCCGGGATAGAAGGACTTGTTCTGAAAGGTAGTCCATCTCTTTCCTGGAGGATTAGAAAATATGAATGACTTTACCGGAACTATGAAAGTTCTTGTTTCAAATACAGGCAACAATGCTTTTGTGCTGGGGACGCGTGTTCGACCGTCGGTAGCCTAAAATGACAATGCAATAAAACCTAAATATTCATAAGGGGTCGCCTCTGTGAGTAGGAGCTGAGAAGTATATGTAAAGGAGAGATCGGGCATATTTTCCTTTCTTGGCCTGAAGGTCATTTTATTTAATGACGCCCATTGTAGTATAGGTGGTGGTGGTGTCGGTCAATCACTCAACCGCCTGTAGGGCTGACATCGGGCATTTATTATGTCCCCGTCGTCGTCCGACTCTGACGTCCATCTGCGGGCATATCTGTAAAGTCCTCATGCTTTTTCCCAAAGTAGCAGCCTCAGAGGATGACAGGTCGTCAGTCATTTTGGCCTTTTCAGCCAATGTTCGCGCCCTCGCGTCTGCACGTTCTAGTCATTTACACATATAATACAGTAGATGGGCTAACTCATGAAATGCCAACCGAAATTCCGAAATGCGTTTTCGTTTCGAAAAGACTGATTATGTAGGATTGTAAAACCAATCATCGTGCAACATAATTCTATAAAAATCCAGTTACCCCAGGACGCCGGCTTTCAAACAAACTTCTTTTCGGCTGCATCGAAAAACCGCATTCCGTAAAAAATGACTACATAAGTAGCATGCATTTCTTCATTGATTTTCGGTGCCCTTAAAGATTCAATAATATTCCATGGAAAACACGCACAAAATATTCATTCTTTTGCTCATTCAGTAGAAAATTACGTCCTCTTTCAATTTTAAACTCGAAGGAAGGGTATAATTCGGTTTTAAAAAAGTTTCCAATTGTAAAATTTTTTTATACCGTGAAAGGGCTCTTCATAAAACGCTATGTCTCTGCATTTACTAATGTGGCTTGTAAAGTTAACAATGTGTCCCAAAGCCGCTGTTTAATTTTATGAACCCTATATGGTCCACCTTTATTATCTTAGAGAAATGTATGGTTTTCCGTAAGTGGAAATTTTACGGCTTGTAATTTGGGAACCCTGAACCCAAGTTTAACGATAGAGCTGGTTCAGATGATTCGGGAATTGGAAAAGTTTTTAAAAACGGAATTCTACCTTTCCTTTGAACAGGGAAGTGGGAGAAAACGTAATTATCTACAGAATGAGCAAAAGAATGAATATTTTCATGCATTTTTTCCATGAAATATAATTGTCCTTTCAGGGGCATCGAA